TCCTCCTCATCAGAGCTGCTGCTATCATCCTCAGAACTAGACTCATCACTCGACTCGTCTTTCTTAGAAGCTGCAGCAGAGACATTAGCAGGAGGTTTCTTGGCTTCAGAACTGCTATCTTCCTCAGAACTCGAATCATCACTCGAATCATCATTCTTCTTAGCAGCAACACCATTCTTACTTGAAGTTGCAACAGCCTTCTTAGAAGGAGCCTATACACCAACAGAAGCAGAGTTAGTAACATCACTGGCCAAAATATATCAAAAATATGCTAGATTCTGCTAAGTTAAGAGATACTACTTCATCCTCGCCTGAAGAATCTGAATCATCCGAACGGCTGGCTAATTTTCCATTCTTGGCAAGAGTCACTTTCTTAGGAGGTGTCAGTGTTTCAGTAAGCTGCATATATATAAAAAGAACTAAGAATGAGACCCCACATTATCAATTATATGACTACATATCTAGATGAATTCAACAGACATACTACACAATACAATAAAAAAAGCAGCCCGGTACACAAAGTATCCGCGTTTACGCAGGGTCCGGGGAAGGGACGCACCCCAAGGGGTGAAATACAGACACCCTACCCTAATACTACGCAATACAATATAAATTAAAATTCTGCACTCAATAACTTGGCTAGACGAAAACAGTCAGTGCATGTATTACCTTCTCGTCTTCTGGCTGAGAGCTATCGTCACAGGAACTGGTTTCTTGTTTCTTCTTCTTCTTCTGAGCCTTTGCATCGCTCTTCTGTTTCTCAGCAGCTTGTGCTGCGGCCAAATGTTTCTTTTGCTTCTTTGTACTCACTAACTTCTCAATTTCATTCTCAGCTTCTCTCTTCCCTGTAAACACACACGAATTAGTCACACCGCCAACCAAGTATCTCCTCCTCTACCAAGAACCAGCAAAAAACAATCCTTTGAATTTCCTATGGTAAAAGGGTACATGAAAAAAGTATTTTTGTGCTCATACAACATGAACTCTAAGATCCGTATACAAACAAAGCAAATAGAACAAAACCTTAAAATCCACAAACAAAAAGAGGCAAAAGATCAAACCTTTCTTCATGGGTTTGGTCGGAGCAGCTACAGCAACATCAGCCTTGCAAAAAACACACACACACACAACAAAACAAAACAAAAAAAAGGGAAATTAATTGAAACTCAGGATACTGTTGAACCAAATGAGATAAAATGGTTACCTGAATGAAAGTATTATAGGCATTTGAAACTAATTGTGCGTGCTCTATCTTTGCTTCCAAGTAGGCTTTTAATATCTCTTGTTCAAGTAGTTCAGAAGAGTGTCTCTGAAATATAATTCAAACACGGTCAAAGATCATAGAAGTCACCGAGATTTTTAAATTTTATTTAAAAAGAGAGGACTTAAATGTAACGACCCGACCGGTTGTTTTGAGTATTACAACCCCGTTTCCCTATTTACTGCTCAAATTGGGTATTACACTTGTTGTGTGACTTGCTTGGGGCAATTGGTTCGGGTCCGATGAGGTTTTGGAATGAATTGGAACACTTAGTTCCAAGGTTT